ACACATACTAATTTTGTAGTTATAAGGGTTGAAAGATTGCCATTTTGGTCGATTTGGGAATTAACGCGTGATATATTTGAGTTGGGGTAAATGTACTTGGTGGTCTTTTTGATGCTTTTCTGTATCCAAAATATATCACTTAGTACTTACCATGGTTTTCAACAAAAAACATCAAAAAAATAAAAATGTCTTTTTTTTAAACTTGTTTTTTCTTTTTCAAAAGTGAACATTACTCCATAGAACTTGAGATTCACAGAGCCCATAGAATTTTCAGAGCTTCACTTTGATACGAGCAATCGTGTCTAATTTTGAGCTAGAGCGCTGGAGCGCTCAATAATTCTGAGACTCATTGATTCTATCTATTGAAACACAAGGCCAACTTAAACAGAATCCAAACAAAACCGACCAAAATTGCAATTCGGAAAACTAAATAAATTTGCTAAACATAAATTAGGATTAAACATAAAGCATAAACAGATCCAAAACGTAACAAGACTGCTCGTATTAGGGCGAAGCCCTGAATGTTCCGACTGCCTTTTAAGGTATTATGGAGCAGTAATAACATTAAAAATTAAATGTATTAAAATAAAATGAAAAAAAGTTTTCTAAAATTTGAAATTTTTTATGAAAATCATCCCCCCACACGCCATATAAAATAAAAAAAAGATAAATTTCGCTCCTTGTAACAAATCAATTATTGCAAATAAGCTTCTTTCAACCAATTTGGAACGATTTCTGAAACGGATTAACTCTCCGCTTACGCGTTAATAGCGCGAAATATATCGCGCGTTAATTGTTCCAAATTGGCCAAAATGGCAATCTTTAAACCCCCATAACTTTAAAAAAAAACGATCACAGGTAAAATATCTTTTCAAATTTGAGCTCAGGGCAACAATATCTTTTGAATGATATAAAAAAATTCCGTCAAAAATGGCTAGTTAAAAAGTCGAAATTTGTCTGAAGACAAAAAAACCCACCCCGAGCACAAATATTCCGTTACTTTTGTACCAAAAGTCGGAACAATAAGAAATAATTTCAACACACAAATTAGCAGTGATAGCTTTGAAACAGTCGTTCGTGGCATCTCTTTGTAATTAGTCGCTTAATAGACTATGTGTTTTACACGCCCAAATTTACCTTTCCTTCTCGTGTGAATTTTTTTCCAAACTGCAATTGCGACAAACCTGCAAGGATTGTTGACATGTAAGAGAAGGTTGTTTTCTAGGAATCAGGGACTTCCTTTCACACTAGAGTTAAATGTGACGCATCACACATGATATTGGAATTCTCGATTGAATAAAGCGATTATAGTGAATGCGTTAGGTTTCGCTTCTGGGTTTTTAAATGCAGCCGAAATGAACTACTGCGCAAATGAAGTGCCACTGCTTGGTATTGTTTTTGTGACTAGATTTTTTTCAAAAACGACTTACTCGGATATTGATTTCAAATATGAACAGATCCTAAAGCATCAATTGGAGCCCCTTATCATATGGAAGGCGCCTTTTTGGATGACTCTGAGAGTTCATTTGGTTATTTTACAAATACGATGAAGTTTATTCCAACAAGCGCCGGCAGACCTATGACGATTCTTGATAAGTTCAAAAAACGCACAGCCCCTAGGATGATCTATGCCGATAGAAGACTTGCAGCATAATTGGACGACTGCGCAAATGAATTGCAAGTGCTTTGTTGAGAATGGTCACTAGATTTTTTAAAACTACCTACAAGGATCCCAGTTCCAAATATGAACATAACATAAAGCATTATTTGGAACAACATAAAGCATTATTTGGAACAGTTTTTGCAAGCCAAAAAAAAACTAATTCAAATTCGAAAACGATGAAGGTTTTTTTCGTAACTTCAATCAATAATTTGAGTCTTTCTTCGGAGTTCATCAAAATCATAAAAAAATCCGAACCAAATAGTGACAGAAAACGGTTCAATTTGATCAATAATCTCAGCGTGATTGAATTTGCTTTGCAACGTAATTGGACTACCAAAAAAAATTATTTTGCAATGTAATTGGACTACCGAAAAAAATGAACGCGACGATGATTCGAATCCTTCAGTATCCCTGATTCTCCTTTCTTCTGACAAAGTTGAGTGAAAATTGTTCATCTTAAGAGTCGGAAATATTTGAGATTTGTTTCATGGCCCTAATTAAGGGGAAAAAATGATTTTAAAACGCTTATCAAGGCAGTTTTTGTAAAATGCAAGCAAGATCTTGTCCAATTGGTAAAATATTTAATAACATCACTGATAACAAACAAGAACATTGGGGCTGTGTGAACTTCGATGGAAGCTAATTTATCCCATATTAACAGGGCTCCATGAAGCACATCCGCCCCATTTTCAAAAAAAGCTGCGCCCTTCAGTACCTGTAGTGGCCAACGATTTATCGCCCGATTTGGTTCACGGAGAAACATTTAAAGAGTCTGTGAACACCAGTAAAATTTAAAAGCACTATTACCGTATCAGATGTTGAAAAATCAGCATCCGTAGTGAATATAACGTTTTTATAAGTTTCCGGCAGCCCAGACATACAAATAACACCTCAGTAAAAACTTAAATCATTTTCCTACGTAGCGCTGCATAGCATTTCTAGAAGCTTTTGAATAGATCAAGGTTCAGGATGTATCGCGGCTTAAGTAAAAGAGTTTTGCCGATGGAATTGTATGAACTTAATATTTAGTCCATTGGGGGACCAAAAAGGAACGGGACTGGTAAAACGTCTAATAAAAAACTATCAAAAAGTCACTCTCAGATGGCTCTAGAAAAACTAAAGCCATCTGTGTAGCTAGAAATGCTAAAAATTTTAGGTGTCTAAGAACTGCTAAGCAACAATGTCTAAACTGTTTATTTTTTGGTACACACTTCGACTGGATTCCTAATCGTGCATAATTAAGTGAAGCCACCATCTAAACAAGTAGTGGACTCGGATCGGATCATGCTATGCTTAGATAAGACGAAACAGCTGATGAGCAGAACTAGAAGGAAAGATTGGGATGCCATTTTAATTTGGTGGACGCCATCATGGTCGACTCTGAGAATTCATTTGACTCAAACAGTCTTCGAGATTTTTAGAAACGTCAAGTTTATCATCACCCCTCAAGTGAAGCAAGAGCCAACGAAGCTACAGAATCCGAGTACGACTGTTTTTATTGGTAGTTCTGAGAAAGACACAGTATTGAACAATACTGCACACCGTTTTTCTTCTCAACCAAAAATGGGCTCACCGATCAGACAGGATTTAACGGTTCAACAAAAGAGCGAAATGATCTTTTTACCGTCTACAATGTTTTCCACAGTTTCCGATCAAAGTGGCGAGCTCGATGATCAAGTGGGAGAAAACCGACTATTCGAGGAAGAACACCAGAATTTGCCACCAAAATTGGCATTAACAAAATCTTTGCCAAAGAGCTTAAAACATCTCAGATACTGCCAAACGAAAGGCATCCTGTCCGATACACTCACCACCACCGGCTAATTAGATAGACATCATAAGACATAACATGCGTCCCCTAAGAGCAAGACAACTTTGAAAATTACTAGAAGATAAGTTATGAAGTGAAAAAAGATTTGCTCAAACGCCCTTGCGAATGTGAGCAATTAGAAATACCAACTCCTAGGACCGTCCCTCTTGGAACCGTTACCGTAGAAGCACCGCACCGCCTATGATCTCAGGAATCGTAGAACTAGCAAATCCTCTAGAATCAAGCTCCTCGAAGGCAATGGACGGAAGCATTCAGCTGGACTTTCATAAAAAGACCCCATTTAACCTATTAGTGGCGAAGGCCTCATTCAGTGCTGCAGAGTCGAGTTGGTCAGATGTCGACTAATCGATTTCACTCAGTTGTCGATTTGGTTCCAAAAAATTGCTCCAACTCGGTTTATCTACGACATCATTGACTTTGTTGGAAGACCAATGACCAGGAACGATCTGAGAGTTTGGTCAATTATAAAAACCAAAAAATTCTAGAAAAAAAGAAGAGAATGAACGCCAAAAAATTTTATAGCTCGGAGGGCAGAAAAAAAAACACTTTTTTTCCTCTTGTACTTCATTGGCCATTTTAAACCTTTGTTTTATGTATTATTTTTGTAAAACCTTGTTTTACCTCATGATACCCATAGATAGTTGGGTCAAATTCTATTTTTTGTTAAACAAAACCACAGATACTTTCCCACAGCTTTTTTCTAAAGTTTAACAGGGGCGGGCTCTGAAAGACAATGCAAGTTTCTATATTAACACACAAAGCTGCACGAACGTTTTTTGCAGCAGCACAGAGCTCGGCAGCAGTGCAAAAAGATTTTCAGGATCTTTTCCACTTACAGCTGTAGAAGCGCTCTGAAAATCAAATTGGTTGACCTTAAAAAGTGTGAAGAGTTTTTACAGGTCCTCGTTGGAACTTCCTTTTGCGGTAAGCTTAGATAAACCCTGATATAAACGCTCTTTTTTTTCTGTTCCAATCAGTCAAAATATAATTCAGTCCAAACGGGAATTTAGTTGGATGGAAAGCGTTTAGTTAAAAGTGTTTTTTAACTTCAGACTGTCTCCCCTTGATGCTATTTTACTACGTAACACAGCCGTCATTTTGGTCCAGCAACCCCAAAAGTTTCACCCGACTACGAAAACTTTCACCAGCCTTGCACCCGACTACGAAATTCAGAGTCAAATTGTATGCGGCGCGACTTACAAAGTTTTTTCTTAAGTCTTGGACCTCGACCCGGGTGGGTGACAATATACACAATATTTGCATCGAGCGCGCGCCAATGAAGTGCAATTATTGGTCACCCCTGCCCCTGCCCCTACACCCCTGCACCTTGAGAAAATTTTAGATCCGCTACCGATTCAATTTTGTAAATTCATAGTTCACAGCTTCATTTCCAAATCAAATTGAAGTGATGAAATCATTTTTCACCTTGATCTTTTCAAGTTTAATTTCCAAAAGGGCGTGTTTGTATTTGTGTTGATACAATATTTACTTCGATCAAATGTTATATTCTCCGGTCACAAGATTTAACATCGAACAACAAAGGTTACAACAATCTAAATCATCCCAAAATCTAGAAAAAGTGAACTTTTTGTTTCTGTTTATTAAATTTGCTAATATTTCTGTTTATTAGATCATTGTAATAAAAGAGTTTTTGTAATGAAAATGTGGCAAAGTGTGTCTTATCTTTGCTTTTTTGTCATTGCTGTTCAGTCGGCGGCTTTCGTCGACCCATGGAAAATTGGAAAGTGTCCCGAAGTCTCGCCAATCCATCTTCACGAGGGTGATCTTTCCGGACGGTGGTACGAGATCAAGGCTGCTCATTTAGCGAAAGACGCAGACGAAGACTGCATTTATTCAGACATCTCATTCGAGGAACAGCATCAAGGTTCGTCATACAAGGGATTCGTTTTCTTATTAGTCCATCGGTTTTGGAAGCAAAATGTCTTTCATTGAATGAAAAAGATAACAAGAATTTACAGTTTTAATAATTTATATTCAAAACATTTAAAGCAAACTCTACAAACAAGTAATTATATAAATTTCCAGGCAACAAAACTCATCTTGTAGAAAAAAAACTTTATAAAATTTAAACTAAAATCAAAATAGTCTTTAAAAAAGTGGCAAAAAGAAGGCAAAATTCAATCATTTGATCTAAAAAAGTCAGAACAAGATAAAACTAATTCACTAAACCCGCTCCCATGGTTACAGATTAATCACATCTAGTTTCAGGCTGGGACCTATTGATGAACACGACAATCTACAGAGTTGGCAAATTCAGCAACTTCAGTCTTGAAGCGAAACAGCCCTCTGATCTGGAAACCACATCTCTGGCCTCTTTTGTAGTTCACTTGCCAGATGCTTATGACAAGGTATCCCTTATGCATCCTGAAAACTACCAGAAGCCAAGTCCTAATTTTTACATTCTACATGCAGATGAAGACGTTGCTCTTTTCTACTTTTGCATGGTCAAAAGGGGTCATTACAAGGACGAGAGAGCCTGGATATACTCACGTGATCAAAGCCCAGATTTCTACAAAATTTACGAAATGGAGGAAAAACTGCAAGAAAACGGAGTGTCGATAAACATGCAAGATTCGGGATTCAAGCAATGCTCGGAGTTAAACAAGGATCCATGGGAAGTTCACGAGATTCCAACAAATAAGTTTGTGAACCTGAAGAAAAACAAAGACAATGACTATTATCCGGTGCTGTATCACAAGTGCTTGCAGAGAGCCAGACTTGGGGTTCTAAGCCCAGAGGAATGCGATGAAGCTTTCCTTGGGTACTAAGATGATTCTGGCTCTTTTTTACTCGAAACTACAAATGGGCGTGTGAGTGGAAGAGAGCCATATAACTCTAATCCAAATGCCTCTTTAATACATTCATCCTTCGCCAAAATTATTGTCTTTGTTTCCGAATCATATATTTAAAATATCTTATTCAAATTGCAACTACAGTTATTCCATTTTTTTTTCAATTTTTTTTTAAAGTCATCTGCACAAGATTTAAATTCGGAATTTCGACTAGATATTACACAAGTACGGATATACATAGCCATGGGGCTAGGAAGATAACAGGATAGACAAACAAAATAGAAATACCTCCTGTGAACAAACCTTAAAAAAGCGTCTACTAGGGAAGAAAGTTAGCAATCACAAAGACATTCGAAAAACAGTTTCCAAGCGCAACCATTCATCCGAAACGACTCTCCTTAAAATCATCTTCATCTTACCCAAAACCTAGAGCAGCATCAAAAAATCCGCCGCTTCTGGGAGATCTAATCAAAAGAATCGCAGCGAAAACCGGAATAGACAAAGCACCCGAAGTCCAATCATGTCTGGATTTTCAGCGAGAAATTCAGCCCACTGATCAAAACGGATCTAGGACAAAATTCCCCAGGACTAGATCGCCTTAGGACGATCCAGGGAACGCAAAAGTACATATTTAAAGCATTCTGAATTGAGTTTTTGATTCAGCTATTTCAATTTGACATCTGCACAAACAAAAGAATGCATCGCCATTTTGATGTGAGGTTTTAAAAGTTTTATGAATCTATTAATATATTTTTTACTTTATAGCAAAAAATTAACAATAAACGTAATGAAATAAAGGTGAGCCAATTGGCGTGAATTCGAATCTTAAAAATGAAACGTTGAATGGTATGTGTTGAATGTACCAACTGCACTGACAAAAACTTCGTGTTTTTACTGAGGCGGAGGTGTGGAATAGTGTAAAAGGAAGTCCCTGATTCCTAGAAAACAACCTTCTCTTACATGTCAACAATCCTTGCAGGTTTTTCGCAATTGCAGTTTGGAAAAAAATTCACACGAGAAGGAAAGGTAAATTTGGGCGTGTAAAACACATAGTCTGTTAAGCGACTAATTACAAAGAGATGCCACGAACGACTGTTTCAAAGCTATCACTGCTAATTTGTGTGTTGAAATTAATTCTTATTGTTCCGACTTTTGGTACAAAAGTAACGGAATATTTGTGCTCGGGGTGGGTTTTTTTGTCTTCAGACAAATTTCGACTTTTTAACTAGCCATTTTTGACGGAATTTTTTTATATCATTCCAAAGATATTGTTGCCCTGAGCTCAAATTTGAAAAGATATTTTACCTGTGATCATTTTTTTAAAAGTTATGGGGGTTTAAAGATTGCCATTTTGGCCAATTTGGAACAATTAACGCGCGATATATTTCGCGCTATTAACGGGTAAGCGGAGAGTTAATCCGTTTCAGAAATCGTTCCAAATTGGTTGAAAGAAGCTTATTTGCAATAATTGATTTTTTACAAGGAGCGAAATCTATCTTTTTTTATTTTATATGGCGTGTGGGGGGATGATTTTCATAAAAAAATTTCAAATTTTAGAAATTTTTTTTTTCATTTTATTTTAATACATTTAATTTTTAATGTTATTACTGCTCCATAATACCTTAAAAGGCAGTCGGAACAATCAGGGCTTCGCCCTGATACGAGCAGTTTTGTTACGTTTTGGATCTGTTTATGCTTTATGTTTAATCCTAATTTATGTTTAGCAAATTTATTTAGTTTTCCGAAACGCAATTTTGGTCAGTTTTGTTTGGATTCTGTTTAAGTTGGCCTTGTGTTTCAATAGATAGAATCAATGAGTCTCAGAATTATTGAGCGCTCCAGCGCTCTAGCTCAAAAATAGACACGATTGCTCGTATCAAAGTGAAGCTCTGAAAATTTTGACTGCATCTCAAGTTCTATGGAGTAATGTTCACTTTTGAAAAAGAAAAAACAAATTTAAAACAAAAGAAATTTTTTGATGTTTTTTGTTGAAAACCATGGTAAGTACTAAGTGATATATTTTGGATACAGAAAAGCATCAAATAGACCACCAAGTACATTTACCCCAAAACAAATATATCACGCGTTAATTTTCCCAAATCGACCAAAATGGTAATCTTTCAACCCTTATAACTACAAAATTAGTATGTATGTGTTGGCGCCCCCCTAAACCTGCCCTTGTTCATATAGACATTGTATCGTTTTATATTCCAATGAAAGTACAAAATAGAATAAAAAAAACTTTGAATTTAAAAATTATTAAAAAACACCCAATAAGTTTGTTGTTTCTGAATTTTAAATGTATCGCAAAATACTATTACTCTACAAATGAACGAAGAAGATATGAGTCAGATCACCTTCAAAAACTCCAGTAATCACTATTTACCGGCAATTGTTAGTACAATATTGCGTTTCCTAAGTTATCTAGCAAACAAGAAAGTAACTTTCCTCCTAAACAGAGGCAAAGCTGCGCTTCGCAAACACTAGCGCGAGCACGACAAAAAGCATCTCTACAAAGCGCAATTTGAAAAATTAGAAGTAAGCTTCGAATTATTAAAACCTCGGTTACGTCTCGTATTCGAACCTACGATCTATTGCGACCCAGAGATTGTGAATCTCACGCAGTAACTCCTCAGTCACGGACACTTGATTGAAGATAAAGACTAGCTATGTGAAAATTGGTAAAGCGTTGTAGCAGTACCCAGTAGCCAATTCAAATTTTTTAAGTTTTTTTTTATCCTTTAGACTGTTTCAAGATGCTTAATTTTAGTTTTTTTAACCACTTAAAAATCAGCGCATCGTCGTGATTTTTTTCGGGAAAAGTTGTGTTACACGTACCGCGGGATTGAGATCCCCCTCACGTGGTAGAGTAGCAATAAATAGTGAAACAAAACAATTAAGCAAAGTGTTAAACTGCTAAATTGAAAAAATGGGAAAAATTTAAGTAATTAAAAAATTATATGAAAAGCAATAGTTTATGAAACGTAATTCGTAGCACCTGCAATAAACAGGAAGCGTGGTATGTTGAAAGAAAAGCAAATTTCATCAAATTCGTCAAAAAACCTAAAAGTCACTCCTAATTGATTGAAACGGATTACAGAAACGAATATATATATAATTCTGTATTTATATAAATAAATATATATGCAAAAACGACCAAGGATATTGCGATCCTACTACGCGCACACAAGCAACAATCGTTTGGTTCCCCGAAGACACCTGTACAACATTTCAAGTAACAAAAGTTAGAATGACAAAAGTTCATCAAAACTATTTTATTGAATCAATACCGTTTGAAGATGTAAACCCTGACCAAATTAGACACAATAAATATAATTTTAGAAACATCCATAATATTGAGAATAAATTGACACGTTTCCAAAAATACCCAGAAACAGAACTTGCTTGTAAATACAAATATACAGAATTATAGTGCTTATTGTTTGTTCATGATAGATATCACTGATTCGATCCATTGTCAGAGCCGCTACTTGTGATCTTTTGTTTTTTAAATTCGGCTGGATATCTTTTCCTAGGAAGTTTATTTCGGCGCCTTTTGTCAGTGTTTCTGTTGATTTACTGTTCATTCATTTGATCGTTTTCTGAGGATAACTCTTACTCTGACAAGACGGCACCTGACCTGGTTTTCTATTCCTGTTGTTTAATTTTTTGAAAACTATCACTAAGTTTTAGTTTATCAAGTAAAAATTTTTTTATGGAAACACAACGGACTTGTTGATTAAAGTATACTTCAATTTCATAAAGTTTGTTCTTGCGCTGTAATAAATTTAGAATTTTCTTCTGATTATTTTGACCCATATGTGAAAAAACTGCTTTTCTTTACCGTATTCAAAAGTGAATCGGTTGAAAACATTCTTGATGAAGTGAAACTCGGTTTTATTGTCAATTGCGAACATTTTAAAGTCATCTAAAATTGAAATTAATTCTGATTTTGTGGGGCGATATTGTTGTTGGTGTTTAGTCTTTTTTATTGATGTTAGTTTGTTTGACTACAATTGTCTGTTTGTTCGAATACATGCACAGACTATTTACAGCTAGTGAAAACTATACTCAAGGTCATGACACCTCAAATTTCGTTTCTCTCAAATCGCGGCAAGATCCGATAAACAGCATCTAAATCAGCGTCCTGATAATCAGCATCTAAAAAAACATAATTTTAAGAAAAATGTACATAAACTGATATCAGATGCAGATTTACGAAGGAATAAGGATTTAGGAGGGAACGCGGATTTAGGAATGAGAAAGGGTGAACGCCCTTTTTCTTTGGTACCGTTTAATCACATCACATTTCGGCACCTAAGATTTTAAGAAACGCATATGATGCAAATGTAGACAAATTGATAGGAAAACGCGGGCCAAAAAACATGATTTTTAGGAGAAAAAATCAAAATGCAGAAAACCCAGAATTAAATTTTTTGGCTTGTTTTTTGGAAATTTGATCGCGACACAAAAGGATATTTTAAAAAACAGTGCGAATGAAAATTTTTCAAAAAATTACAAAGTTGCTCAAAGTTTCATAAAAAATTCGGTCAACCCAAACAACTTTCAAAAAACTTCGAGGGATTTAAAATTGCGAAGAAAACGACTTAGTTGAGCTTCTTTTAAATAACGCTAATTTATTTGTTGATTTTTGTTCCTAACGAAAATGTTTGAGGAAAGTTCTCTCATTTTCAGAAGAATCTGTTTTGGCTCATCCCTTGTGAAAATAAGCCTATGTTTGCAATTTTTCTCAAAACTGAAGAAAAGTTTCTTCAACTGGTCACTTGAATTCCGCCGACAAGCATCATAATTAAGCAGTTTTATTGATTATCAGTATTGTAATGACAGAAAAATATATTCGCCTACTGGAATTGGTTTTGTGTTTCCATCAAAACACGCAATAGTAAGTGCATAAACTAAGAAAATGTTGTATAACCCGTACCGAACTTTTTGGCCATAATCATATCTGATCATTGTAAAATCATACAAAATTCATGTCTGTATTGGGCATGCACATATCTGCATCAGACCTGCATCAGGTGTGCTAACTGAAGATATAATCACACCTGCAGGATGCATGATCATGCCTGAACTGAACATGCTCACACCTGCAGGATACATGATCATACCTGAACTGAA